AAAAAAATATGTCCACAGAAAAATGTGTACACAAATGTTCACAGCAGCATTATTCCCAACAGCCCAAAAATGGAAACAGCCCAAATGTCTCTCAGCTGATAGATGGATAAATAAAATGTGGTATATCCCCATAATGGAATATTACCCTGCTTGGAAAGGTGGAGGGTCAGCATATGACAAGAAGAGCCTCAGTAAGATGGACAGACACAGTGACCTTAACCATGGGCTCAAATGTGTCATAGATGAAGAGAATGGCACAGGACAGGGCAGGGTTAGTATGACTTGTGGTCACTTCAGTGGCACAAATAACAATAAATAGAAATTAATTACTGACACATGCCACACAAGAATGAACTTTGTGAATATTTTTATGTACATAAAATACAAAAGGAAAATATTACATGATCTTATTTACATGAAAGATACCTTTTCAATCTATATACAGAACAGATCATTTGGGAAGCAGGGCTTTTTGAGGAGGAATGTGGCATCAGGATTGGAGGCAGACTCATCAACAACCTACATTATACAGATAACACAACCTTCCTTGCTGAAAATGAAGAAAACCTGAAGTGCTTGCTGCAGAAGGTCAAGGACTGTAATCTTCAATATAGATTTAAGCTTAACATCAAGTAAACAAAGATTGTCATCACTGGGCCAACTGGCAGCACCATGATAGATGGAGAAGAGATAGAGGTTGTTAACAATTACATCTTGCTCGACTCCACAATCAATACTCTGAACACCAGCAGTCAAGAAATCGAAAAATAAATTGCACTGGGAAAATCTGCTGTCAGGGACCTCTCCAGAGTGCTGAAAAGCATCAGTCTAGAGACTAAGGTGCACCTAATCTAGGCCATGGTCTTTGCAATTACTTGCTGTTCATCAGCGAGCTGGACAATCATTAATGATGACAAGAGAAAAATTGATGCATTTGAATTGTGATGTTGGAGAAGAGTCTTGAACATACCATGGATGGCTAAGAAAACAAATAGGTCTGTCTTGGAGAGGGTGAAACCAATCCTCTCCTTGGAGGCTACGATTTTGAAGCTCTATCTCATACACTTTGAGCATATGGCCAGAAGAGATCAGTCTTTGGAGAAGGACATCATGCTTAGAAGGGAGAAGGGGCAGGAGAGGAAGACCTTGGATGAGATGGATTGATACAGTGACTGGGGCAATAGGGATTGGTGTGTCGGGCTCAGGCTGGGGCAGGGTTCAGAGCTGCTGTATGTAGGGTCACAGACAAATTGGCAGCACATAACAACAACAATAATATTTACATGAAACATCTAGAACAGATTAATAAAGATCAAAGTGTAATGGCAGCTGCCAGGAGGTAAGGAGAGTGGAAAAGAGGAGTTGTTGCTAAGCGTTACTGAGTTTCTGTCTGTGACCGATATTTGGAAACAGACATTGGTGAAGGTTGTACAGCATGATGAATGTAATTACTATCATTGAACTCTGTATGTGAAAATGGCTACAATGGACATTTTTGTTACTTAAATTTCACCACAATAATAATAAAAAATAAGAAAGAAAAAGAAATTAAGTTCTCTATAGCGTGTATGAACTGTGAAACGATTAGTTTAAATGAAGGAGTCAGACACAAAAAGCTATATTGTATACTGTACACATGAAATTACATGAAGTGTCCAGAACAGGCAAAGCCATAGAGACAGAAAGAAAGTAGACAAGTGGCTGATGGGGAAGGGGCACAGGAGAGGGTAGATGAGAGACTGATCATGGGTATGAGGTTTCTTGTTGGGCTGATGAGAATATTTTGGACAATTAGATAGTGATGATAATATAGCATATCATTATGAATTTACTTTAAAACCTTCAAAACACTGAATAGCATATGCTTTAAAAGGATGTATTTGAGGGGAGCTTTGGTGGCCTAGTGGCAAGAAGCTGTACTGCAATCCCAAAGGTACACGGTTCAAATTCACCAGATGCTCTGCCGGAGAAGGAGGGACCATTTCCTCCTGTACCAGTCAAATCTGATTTGACGATACATGCACAAAAAATAACAAAATTTTTAAAAAGATGTATTTTATGGTGTATGAATTTTATTTTTAAAATAGTAATAGTCTGAAATTACCATAAATGTTTCAACGTCTGGTTGACTTTCAGCATTTCTGCCATGCTCTCTGCAACTTCATCGTTGAGTTCATTTTTGGTGAGCCTAGGGAAGGAAGGGGCATTTATTCTGGAGTGTCTGCAGACATGTTTACATTAGCCCCAGGAAACAGTGTCCAGCTCAAGAGGCTTCTCTACTGAGAACGAGGAAACAGGCAAGGCTCAAGCCCACCCTCTCAACACCCAGATGATAAATAAGGATTCATGTCCAGTGAAAGTCTTTCAGAAAAGGTCAGACATTCCTTTCTCATCCTTGATGAGCCCTCAGGTTTCACAGAAAATGAAGAACCAATGCCTCTTCTCAGGTGTAGGTCCCTGAAATCGGGAACCCCAACAGTGTTACCCATGTTAGTCATACAGAGATTTATACAAGCCTGCAGACTACACATTAAAATGTGCTCATGTTATCAATGTCAGCCATACAGAGATCTAGAAAAGCTTGCTGATTACATGTTAAAATGTGTTCATGTTACCAATATCAGTCATACAGAGATCTATAAAAGTCTGCTGATTGATTACATGTTAAAATGTGCTCACTTTGATCAATCTAATCTTTGATTGTATTATGATCAAAAGGGGGAAATATGAAACCATTAAAAATTCTTACCAAATCTAGACTTATTTGACCCAGTAAAATTAGAGTAACCCCTAAATCCAATGCTCTTAGATAACCTTTAAATGGAACCATAACTTCCCCTGACATCATCATTAAAAACATAAAAATTTAGTTCAATCAGTAAAGAATGTTTACCTTTAACATAGCCCTCTTTTAAAGATCTATCTATATGAAAGAAAATTGACAGTAATAACTCTAAAGCATAGATGAGAGGTTTGAGAAGCACTGAATCTAACTTCATGGTGAGAATTAGAGTAGATACAGTGAAAATGATGAAACAATATGAAAATATAACCTCTGTCAATGAAATGTACAAGCAGAAATTGTTGACTGGGAATATGCTTTCCTGTGCTTATTCTCTTTCACACACACAAATAAAGAAATAAATTGAAGATTTAAATTTTTTAAATTTGTCCTGTGCTGGGCTCTGAGGTCAGCTGGGAAGAGCCCAGGCTCAGTGACAGCAGCCGGCATTCTGGTTTTCCCGAGGCCCACGGGCAAGGCCTTGAGTCCATTTTCTACTTCTATACCTGATGGTAGACAAGGAAAAATGGGGTTGCCTTTATAGTAAAAAAAGTAATTTCTAGATCCATCTTGAAGTACAACATCGTGAGTGACAGGATTAT